CAGCTATGGCACCAGCTGGCTATATCGGGACACCGGCAGCCACAGCCACTCGGTCTTGGAAGGGTTGAGTCAGAGCCTGTTTCTCCCCATCCAGACCCACACAGCCTCCAGGCACCGGGACATCACTTCAAGGGCATCTTTGGGATGGCCTGGGGTGGAGATGTACAGCTGAATATCATCAGCGTACTGATGGAACTCCACCCCAAAACCATGGATGATCTCACCTAGTGGCTTCACATAAATGTTGAACAGGAGGGGTGAGAGGATCGACCCCTGCGGCAGCCCAGAAACAAGGTGCCTTGGGGTCGACCTCTGCCCCCCTGCTAACACCGATTGCAACCGGTCGGAGAGATAGGAGGAGAACCACCATAAAATGGTGCCCCCCACCCCCAACCCCTCCAACCAGCGCAGCATGATACCATGGTCGATGGTATCAAAAGCCGCTGAGAGGTCTAACAGGACTAGGATAGAGGAACAATCCCTATCCCAAGCCCTCCAGAAATCATCCACCAATGCGACCAATGCCGTTTCCCTGCTGTGCCCAGGCCTGAAACTGGACTGGAGCGGATCTAGATAGACAGCTTCATCCAGGTACTGCGGAAGCTGTCGTGCCACCACACTCTCAACAACCTTCGCCACAAAGCGAAGGTTGGAGACTGGACGGTAGTTAGCCAAAACAGCCAGATCCAGAGAGGGCTTCTTGAGGAGGGGCCTCACCACCGCCTCTTTCAAGGCGGATGGCAAGACACCCTCACTCAAAGAAGCGTTAATAATCCCCTGGAACCAGCCTCGTGTAACCTCCCGGGAGGCCAGCACCAACCAGGAGGGACACTGGTCCAATAAACATGTCGCGTTCAGCCGTCCCAGAATCCTGTCCATGTCCTCGGGAGCCACAGGGTCAAACTCCTCCCAGATAACATTCTCAAGACCTGCCTCCATCATCCCGCCTGAACCTACCCAGTCAGAGACCAAGCCTTCCCAAATCTGAGTGATTTTATCGTGCAGATACTGTACAAAATCCTCAGCCCGACCCTGCAAGGGATCCTCCCGCGCTCCCAGATAAGATCATCTTTAATGATTTTAGATTGAAATAATTTAAAATTAAAGATTAAGAATAACTGCTGATGTTTTTCAGTGGGTAATGGCAAAATGGGAGCCCTTAACTGCATATCATCTGTTGAGCGGAGGTGTTGTTGTAGTAAATATTGCTTTTGCAGCTTTCCAAAAGCTGATCAGATTGCAACAACATAACATTGACTTCTGGAAATATAAATGCTCTTTCCTAGTGTTTAGAAATATATTCCGTAATGCTTTCCATGTTTTCTGTAGTAATGCATTTAAAAGGTTTGATCAAAAGCTGTGTCATTTTATGCATTCTATACAATTTTGGGACTGTTCACAAGGAGGAAAAAACAAATAGTATGCCTGCATTTATTGTACTGTAACCATCTGGTCTCTGTCATGATAATATTGTTCTTAAAAATAAGAATAGTGCTCTATATTTATACATCTTTCTTTTTCAGACAGAAATCTTTTTGACACAAAACCTCTTTCCATTCATTGCATGAAGAAATATCACATGTAAAATGAGACTAGAGTTTCCTCTCCTTTTGTGATTCTGGAAACATGATCACTTTCTCTTCCAAAATCATGAAAATTCCATTATAAAATATGAATGATTGGGTTGAGAACGGATGGGGCATCTGGGGTCCGGATTGTGCATTTGAAAAGGATTCTGCATTTAGGAAGGAAATAAAAAGAAGAGGATGCATTTGTATTTTAGTGTATTTTTATATTTAAATTGCTGTAGCATTTTGTATATTGCACAGATAACAAGACAGAGCTATCAGTTTCTAATTGTTTGTTGATAAAGATCCCTCTTCTGCCCATGATCCAGATATTCCTCAAATAATAATAATAATTGAAAAATCATCAAATGATTCAGAGGGCAGTTTGTGTCAGAGAGGGAGAAAAAATAGTACATCATTAAGATCAAGAAGATTGCACAAAGTGATTATAAACAACAACATATACTCTCAATTTTTGTGGGAACATAGAGCCTTGGTAGTACAGTGGTCTAAAGCACCCTGTTATTAAGACCAGCTGCCTGCAATTACTGCAGGTTCGAATCTCGCCAGGCTCAAGGTTGACTCAGCCTTCCATCCTTTCTAAGGTAGGTAAATTGAGGACCCAGTTTGTGGGGGCAATAAGCTGACTTTGTATAAATATACAAAAGGACGAAGGCTATTGCTTAATGCACTGTAAGCCGCCCTGAGTCTCCGGAGAAGGGCGGCATATAAATCAAATTAAAAAAAAAAAATAAAAAAATGGGAAAAAAAACATTGAGAATGAGTATGTTAAAATATTGTGGGATTTCTGAATACAAACTCATAAAGTCTTGGCTCATAATGCACCAGATTTAACTGTGGTTGAAAAGAAGAAAATGCAAATTATTGATGTGACAATACTAGGGGATAGTACAATAGAAGACAAAGTATTGGCTCAAAGTATCAAGATCTGAAAATTGAAATTGAAAGATTGTGGAATAAACCAGTTATGGCAGCTCCAGTGATTATTGGCACACTGGGTGCCATACCAAAAACACTTAGGCGCCATTTACAAAATCTGCACACTGAAAAAATTTCCATTTTACTACCCTGATAGATTATGACGCCTTAGGTTTTCAGGAAGAGCGGAATGCATATGAAGCCCAACACTTCCTACAGAAATAACAGTTTTGCTTTCACATTTTTGTTTATATAATAATAATATAAAATGTTACTATTAATATACTATTAATAGTATATTATCAGTAATAATGATATGGTAATAATAATATAGTAATATTGGACAACATCTTGAAGAATATTTCTACTATGGAAAAACAAGGAGAAATGAGAATTATGGACCTCTAACACATAGGATTACTACAACATTAAAATTGTTTTCTGGAATTATAGCAAGACTAATATTTGCTAATTTGAAAAAAAATGCATTTTTTTCAGCGGAACGAAAAGGGACTTGCTAAATTCACATGGCGTAAGATCAGCTACTTAATGAAAAAATGATCATTAAAAGCTTAAAAGAATTTTTATGGCCTAAATATTTTATACAAAGGCTTATAAATCATTTCTCATAGTTGGATTTAAAAACACTTGGAAATGTTTGGAATAAACTGAAATATTAAAAGAGTTTTGGATGTCATTTGCTTCATTGGAAACCACCCTTACAGAATATGGGAGACATTTGGGAGAACAAGAATAAAAACAGGTCTATTTCAAAGTAACACATTGTCATCATTGCTCTTTGTAAGAGCAGTGATTCTGTATTCTGAACAGAATCAATTTTAAGTAACAATTCACAAACAAAGCTCCTCAAATAAGCCATTTTCTTTATAGAGATTACCTAAAACTATATTGAATCAGAATCTAAAATTGAGTCTCTGTTATATATAGTTTGTATATTTAATAAAGATACAGGAATGAAATTTGGTCAGGATAAATGTGTAATTTGGCAATGAAAGGAGGTAAGATTATGGGAGAAAATGGGTTGCACCTAATGAATGGAAATGTCATTAGACACCAGGCACCTGAAGAAGGATACAAATATTTAGAATTAATGGAAGCTTCTGATTAATTGCACAGCCAAGTTAAAACACAGACAGTTTAAGTTATTTCAAACAATTTGAGGGGTTTTTTTTTTAACAAAAACTAAACTAAATGGTGGAAATATTGCTAAAACAATAAACGCTTGGGCAGTCACTGTAATTAAATATACTGCAGGAGTAATTGATTGGATCCAAGCCAAATTGGACAATCTTGATCAGTAAAACAACAAAATTAATGATCATAAATCATGCACTTCACCTAAGAAGTGACATTCATAGATTATATGTATTCAGAATTAGAGGTGGTAGAGGACTATTGCAAGTAAAACAAACTATGGAATAAGAAAAATATAGTCTGAATGATTACATCTGGAAAAGAAAATAGACTGTACTTATGGAACTTCACAAGGAAAGCCTCCTGAAGTAACACAAAAGAGCTAAATTGGAATATAAAACTAAGGTAATTCAAAATTGGATTAACATTTGGTAAAACAAACCACTCCATGGTGAATACATGTATGAGACTGAAGGAAAAGTGAATCAAAATCTAACGTGTTCTGGTTGAAATCCGTAAATTTAAAAAGGAAAACAAGGGAAGAATTCAAAACCAAAATATGGTGAGATGGGTGCACACAAGTTTAATAAATCAATCAGTAATGAATTGAATTGCAGGGCAAGCAAAATTAAATGCAGTCCTCTCTTCCTCTTTTCACAGAATTCATTGATAAATTACTAATGTTCCAATAATCTTCCATGTCTGGGAACTGGATCAAAAAAATAGAAATGACTATTTACTCAGCAAATATTTCTATCAGCAGTACTCTTATCTGGTCTGATATATTGCACCAAACCCACTTTTTCAAACATGCAAAAATAGATCAAGGCATAAAACAAATAAACATAATGAAAAAAATTAATTTCTTCCTTTAAAAATGAAGTACAGAATCAGATATAGCTTAAAACAAAATATTGCAGAATGGACATCTGGAGTTCACTGTTCCAGTAAATGAGTAATCTAGCGATAGCCTTCAAAACACTCCATTCTACTGAAAAACTAAATAATACATTTTTTTTTAAAAAAAGGCTTAAACTTTTATCGCTTTTTATTTTTAAGTGACGTTTCAGTAACTGTCAAGAAAAAAAATGAAACAATTGCATACTAAAATGTATATGCTCAGCGCTGCATCAGTCTAGTGCTTAATACTGTAACTTGTATTTGATTGGCATGCTTTTTTAGTTTTTCTAATTAACTATTTTATTAACCATTTATTAATAAAAAATTAATAAATTAACTACTTTCTGTTACATGAAAAAAACATTTCCTACATGCTTATTTTGGAATTCTGAATTACTCATTGTGTTTCTTTTTCTCTCCTTTTTTTTATTCTGATAGGCCGCATCTGTTTCTCTTGGGACACCCGTTACAAGGAAAAAAGATGATGACATGTCAGTTGGGAGCACACCATTGATTAAGCATCAGTCCAATCAGGCTTCTGAATATGCCAGTAGCCCTATAAAAACAAAAACTGTAACAGGTGCGTCTGCTTTAATTCAGTTGGAATTATGTATATAATTTTTATGATTATGTATATAATTTTATGACTTAAATAATAAGAATTTCTCTTACTGATCCTTTGATCATGATTTGCTTGGCACCAACCAGTCCAGGTTAAATTTACTAGAAGTTTTTTCAGTCCATTTTTCACTTCAGTTTTTTTCTAATTACCATCCAGTTTTGTAATTAGTTAAGCTTTTTAAAAAATACATACAGTAATTATCACATCAAGTTGGTAGTGCTGAAGGGATACCTCAGTCCAGGGAGAGATGCATGTGAGAGAGACTCAGAGCAACTCCTTTTTAGTTAAGCTAGATATAAGTTAAACGGGAAAATTGCTTTGATGGGTTTTTAAAACTCTTCTCCTGCATTCTACAAATAATATCTTTCTAGAAATCCAAGTGGTTCTGATTTCTTCAGATAGGCAGCCTTGCAATCGACTTTGAAGGCTTCTCAAAGCAGGTCTCCCATTCAAGGTATATATAATGTAATGAAGGCAGAGTTACTTTGAGTATTTTTCTCATGCTTCCTCTCTCCCTTCGACTGATATATTTTTCTTCACACATGACACATGTTGCTAGATCCTTACTGGAAAATAACTCCATAGAAAAAGGCAAGGAAATATTAGAGAAGTTCACAGTTTATAATGAATAAAAAGAATTGTCTTGAAGGACAGAGGAAAGATAATGATCAAGGCAATGATCAGATAAACAGAACTTAAGCCCAAAAAAATAATTAGCAAAAAGATCTCACATGAGAGGGAGGAAAGGTAGCAGGATTCCATTATTATTAGCTAACATTTATTAAAAGTAGCTTAGAGATCTTCAAATGCCTGTTTTCTTAGTCTGGTCTACCTGACATCTTTGTCAGGGTTCAACTATCCAAAATTGAAGATAACTGGGAAGTATAAGCATTCTTAAAAATGATAATGTATTTGAACTATGCAGTACTAGCCCCTTGATATAACCAGTAAAATAGTTTTGGAAAAGGACAATGGAGTTCTGCTCCCTTAAGATGTATAAAGGCCTCAACATTATAAGACACAATGTGTGGAAGAAATATTTATGAATTACCAAGATTAAGATTATAAGATTTCTTTCTTTCTTTCTTTGTTTAAGGAAATGTCTTTTTGCAGGGATAACCACAAATCTATACTGATAGATAACTATTTTCCTTTCTTTGCCTTTGTGTCTTAATTGCTACTGACGGTCTATTTTTCTTCTAAAGGCCAGAGAAAGATCTCCTTTTAGATGTTCCATTCATGAAGTAAGTTTATGAGGAATGGGCTGTGAGCCAAGTAAATCATGATCAAAAGATCAGTAAGAGAACAGAGTTTTAGAACTTAAGGACATTTATAAGCTCTAAATTTGGAGCACAAAGGAGCTTATTAGTGCTGGTGAACTCTAAAACTAGGATTCAGTTAGGACTAATTTTGGTTTTACTGGGATTATTAGGTATCTAGTAACATGTACTCCATTTAGCAAGCTATTTGGTCTTTCTTTTTTCTTTCTTTCTTTCTTTTTTTTAAAGAATCACGACCATTATCAGTACCCGTGAAAGCCATGCTTAGTTCAGCTGAAATGTGCAGCAAAAGTCCTGAAGAAAGAATGAAAGAATTTATTAGTGTGGTATGGAATGCAGTTAAGTGCCTTACCCTTCAGGTAAGAAATTGTGGATAGGAGATGAAAGAAAGGAATATTTTGATGTACTTTTAGAATCTTCCATTATTTTGAAATTTCTATGAAATAGGTTTCCATTTTAAGTTTATTGGGGAATAATGAAGCCAAATTTCATTAGAATGTCATGGAATGATGAAGCCAAATTAATTAAACTTTTCAAAGTAAGTAAGCATAGGATTAGATACCTATATATTCTGTTGTATATAGTCAGGTGTAAGAAAAACAATGCTAGAGTACAAGCTTTCCATAATAAAGCTTTTAAAATGATTTATATCGCAGCTCAGAGCAGTTTCAGTGGTTTAATGGAAGAATAGCAGTAGCGCTTATATACCGCGTCAAAGTGTTTTACAGCCCTCTCTAAGCGGTTTACAGAGTCAGCATATTGTCCCCAACAATCTGGGTCCTCATTTTACTGACCTCGGAAGGATGGAAGGCTGAGTCAACCTTGAGTCTGGTGAGATTTGAACTACCAAATTGCAGGCAGCTGGCAAGCAGCAGAAGTAGCCTGCAGTACTGCATTAGTCACAATTAGACTGTATTTAATCCACTGCAATGCACTCTATTTGGGACTACTCAGGGCTGTCTTAAAGCATGGGCCTGATGGGCACTTGTCTGTGGGTCCCATGAGCATAGGGGCCCAATACTAATCTGTGTATGTTAACCCTTCAATGCACCTTGTATCATATAAATACAGCAACATATTTATTACATTTTACTGCATTCTTAAATTAATACTAACATGCCAATAAAATAAATATGTGTTTAATTTTATCGACCATTTACATTTTTATTCCTGTGAGTAGTTATCGTAGGGGCCCCAGTACATTGCTTTGCCCAGGGCTCATAATGCTGTTAAGACAGACCTTGAAGACCATTTGGGAATTTAGTTTGTGTAGTTGACTGCCTATAAATTTCCAAGTATAGTTCAAAATATAGTTAAAGAGCCTTGGTGGCGCAGCAGACTAAAGTGCTGTTAAGTAACGCCAGCTGCCTGCAATTACTGCAAGTTCAAATCTCACCAGGCTCAAGGTTGACTCAGCCTTCCATCCTTTCGAGGTAGGTAAAATCAGGACCCGGTTTGTGGGGGCAATAAGCTGACTTTGTATAAAAAAGAACACCGCTTAGGGGGCCCCGAAAGCCCTACTAAGCAGGTACATACAAAAGTATGAAGGCTATTGCTTAACGCATTGTAAGCCGCCCTGAGTCTCCAGAGAAGGGTGGCATATAAATTGAACCAATAAATAAATAAATAAATAAAATCTTATGAAGCCCTAAAGATCATGTAACTGGAAGTGACTGCTAATTTTCTCCTTAAGTCAAGGATTGACAACTTCTCCAAACTGGCTATAATATAACTTAATACTCCATTAATACTACAGTTTCCAAGATCAATTTAGTCTACATTTATTACTACAAATGCTCTTTCTTCTTTCTGAAATTTTTGTTAATGGCACAATTGGCACAGTTTTAAGAAAGTGTGCTTATTGATGAAAAGACAAAAGATGTTTTACCTTCATTTTGTGATAAATTTTGCTATCGTTTATTGGGCTTGCATTATAAACTGTTGCATAGAGATTATGATCTTTACATAATCAAAATAGGGGAAGAATCTATTTCAAGAAATTGTAACACTTATATGTTAAAAACAAGGAATTATGTTCAGTATTGGCAAAAGTACAGGTTGCTACCAAAACTGAAATTCAATCTTTGAAACAGAAAATATGTTACCATGGAAAAATAAAGTAACACTTAGTGCAGCTGTGATGCATTAATGAATAGATTTTTTTTTTTTAAATCATTTGTATATGGTATGGCTTAGAGGATCTCAGCCAGATGATTTCCTTGAACAGGATCTGACCTTCATCTTGAGGATTTCTTACTGGGAAATTATTTCATTTTCTTTCCTTTTATTTGTCAGTTCTTTACATTAATGTAAGAATTACTGTTGTAGATTTATATTGTTACATAAATAATAATAACATTTTATCTTAAATTTACAATATTAAACATGTAGTTTAATAGTGGGTTTCAAAGTGTAAAAATAATATAATATATCATATTATAATATATTATAATATAATATATCATATTATATCAAGCCGGGCTGGCTTGATCCCATCCTTTGGTTTTAATTTGAAATTAATTTTAATTGGGTTGTTTTAAATTGTGGGCCAACATTATTTAATATCTTTTAAATTGTTTTAATTTTTGTATGCTGTGTTTTTACTTTGGCTGTCCACCACCCTGAGTCCTGCTGGAGAAGGGCGGTATAAAAATCAAATCAAATAAATAAATAAATAATATGCCGCATTAATTTAAGTCTAAGGATACAGGAATTTGAAGATATTTTAATATTATACCTATCAATAGAGAGATCAGTAGCACCTTCTCATTATTTAATGCAACATGAGATTTTTAGGTGCATTTTTTCTCCCTGCTACTATTATATGCCAAAATTCACCTGCATTCGGTGATTGTAAAAAGAAAGTTTTATGAACATTTGTATACATGCATGTAGATATGTAAGCAAAGTTATTGTCCTGTACATAAAAAATGGATCATATGTGACCTCAATAAATATTGTACATATTCATGCTTTTAGAGGATTGCATATGCAACTTGTTCATCTTCAGACGGTAATTTCATAAGAAAGTAGAAGTAACATCTAGTTGAAATACTATTCTTATTTTAAATGTTAATATCTAAGTTAATCAAAGAATTTAAAACTTACTCAAGGTGAGCAGCTTTATGGATAGATGTCTTCTGAACATATTTATTTATTTATTTATTGGTTCGATTTATATGCCGCCCTTTTCCGAAGACTTAGGGCGGCTCACAACGCGTCAAGCAATAGCCTTCATACTCTTGTATATACCTGCTTAGTAGGGCTTTCGCCCCCACCCCAAGCGGTGTTCTTTTTTATACAAGTCAGCTTATTGCCCCACAAACCGGGTCCTCATTTTACTACCTCGAAAGGATGGAAAGCTGAGTCAATCTTGAGCCTGGTGAGATTTGAACTTGCAGTAATTGCAGGCAGCTGGTTTTACTTAATAGCACTTTAGTCTGTTGCGCCACCAAGGCTCATATATATACCTACTTTTCCTGGTTTCTTCTTGAGTTGTTTTTAGATAAGAAATAGAATTAGACTCCTAAGCATGGGACTGAGAACAAGGACAACAATACCATCATCCCTATCTCCACGCGCAAAGGAAAGGGAATAATGTGAATGCAAGAATTGCTATGCAGAGCAGCTCATAATGCAACTGGCTCAGAATTGTTTCTTCTCTTATACGGCAAATAAAGCTTGTGACAATGGCAGCCTATGGATAACTAAAAGAAATGCAGATAGCATAACTAATACCTTTCTAGAACTTTTCTATTTGGAGATGTATAACAAAATCTGAGCACATTCAGGAGTCAGTTCCAGCCAGTGGCAACATAAGAAAGCTCAACTGAAAGCATCATTTTTCTAATGTGACTGATTTGATAAATGGTCATTGAAGAAAACCAAATTTCCCACCCAGCACCGAGGGGAATTTCATTATGTCTCCATCAATTTTTCCTTACTGTATGTCTAACAATATTAATGATATAATGGAAAAAAGAGTGAAAACATAACATCTGCATTTTCATATATTAGAATCACAAAGTTGCTAGGATGTACAGAAGTAAAATCAGAGGAAGTGAGCAGTATCCCTTAGCTTTAGCTGAACTACTTGTGTTAATAAAAATGTCACAATCTAATGTAATTTAATCTTAAATTCCAACTTATTATTTCACATATAAATTTTTTCAATTTTTTCATATATAAACTTGAGGAAAAGCTAACAAAGCGACCTTATTGCTAAAAATTATAGAGAACTTCATAGAGAAAACTAAAGGGAGGGGGATCTCAGCTGAATTGGATTTTTTTTACTTCTAACCAAATTACCCACTTAATCGGGAGGCTCCTATGAACATCCTATGAACACTTTGGCTGTAGATCAGGTATCCACAAACTCCCCTTGTCAAGTCTAGTATGGATTTTGACCACCTCAGATTCCCTAGATCAATCCTTGCACTTGGATCAAGCTAAAAAATTTTGTCTGTCTCACTTACAGCTCTCTTGTTAAAAATACTACCAGCTTTTCTTTCTAAAAATAGTAATATAAATTATCTATAATTCTTTATTCAGTTTTTACTTATCTGTAATATATTAATCTGTCAAACAAACCTGAAATAGAATTATCTAGATCATATTTATCATAATACTTAAATTATTTAGTGCTCAGCCCTCTATATTCAGGTACCAAGAGAAGGTTTTTAGGAGTGTGTTATAATTTATTCTTTATGAATTTTGTCTGTCTCATCAACAATTGTTAAGTCTGTAGCAGGTACTTTGTTTGAATTTTACATGTGTTGATATGTCGATTCCTGAATGGAAATATCATTTTTAAAGATGGCATGCACATTTTCTTCTCTGAAGGTTGATTTCCTAGATACTTTCAGTTCTTTCTTCTGTTAAGAGGAAAGCTGGAAGCTTTCTGGTTTAGGAGGTATTGTTTTTTTTTAAATCTAAACATGAGGCTAAATTGCCCAGGAGATTATGTTGGTTATCACATTCCATGTGCACATAGCTACAGAACACAAACAGTGCTAGCTGTATGTGGTTTTGGCAATAATGAGAATATTTGGCAATGTAACAAAGGTGGTATTTCAGCTGCATTTCTTGAGAATGATGCAGTCTTCATAATAAACGTCATTCTCTGTGAACTTCAAAGAAACGGAAACATTGTCACTAAAAGAAGCAAGATCAGAAGCTAACAAACTACAAATGGATTTCTTTTGTAAAAATGTTTGTGAATATATTTTACAAGTCAATCATCTTCCTTGGGAAAAATGTGTGAAAAGGCATGTTTTTTTGCCAGTTTCCTGAATAAATTAGTAGGACTTTTCTTAGGTATTGACTGAGAAACACACACACAAAACACACGCCACAAAAATACAGATCACATGGTGCGGTTATATTTTTTAAAAATTTAAGCATTAAAAAATATCTAGTAACCAGTTTTGATGCTTGTTTTCCTATGAACCTTAGATCTAGGGCCACAGTAAGTATATTGCCTTTCATCCTTATGCATTTTTATTTTTAAAAAATGGCTCTTTTTGTCTTTCAGATGGAAGTGCAGTCATGTTGCGTGTTCATTCCCAATGACAGCCTGCCATCTCCCAGTACCATCGTGTCTGGTGATATTCCTGGCACTGTCCGTAGTTGGTATCATGGGCAGACTAGCATGCCTGGAACTCTTGTCATTTGCTTACCCCTTCTAAAGATTATGAGTGCAGGGCACAAGTACATGGAACCCCTCCAAGAGATTCCCTTTGTTGTGCCAAGACCAATACTTGAAGAAGGTAAGAGATAACAAATTCCAAAAGAAGGAGTGTTATAATGAGGTACTGTTTTCTAAGATGAATTATGTAGCTTGATATCAACATTCTTCTTTAATCTTTTCAAAATGCTTCATTCTTTTTAAAGTGCTTGATTAGCTATTTTTTATTACTTGCTTTTTTACCATTTTTAAAAAAATGCTCTTTGCATGACACAAGAATTAAATAAAGGAGAATATTTGTAGCCTAGGATTGAAATGGGTGTTCTTTGAGCTTGGTTGTTTTCTTGCAGACGTTTCGTTACTCAAACTAGGTAACCAGTCATGGGATTCAAATTTTTTTACTACCGGTTCTGTGAGCATGGCTTGGTGGGCATGGCAGGGGAAGGATACTGTAAAATCTCCATTCCCTCCCCACTCCAAGGAAAGGATATTGTAAAATCTCCATTCCCTCTCCACTCCAGGGGAAGGTTACTGCAAAATCCCCATTCTCTCCCGATCAGCTGGGTCTCGGGAGGCAGAGAATAGAAGGGGGTGGGGCCAATCAGAGGTGGTATTTACCGGTTCTCCAAACTATTCAAAATTTCCACTACCCGTTCTCCAGAATTGGTCAGAACCTGCTGAATACCACCTCTGTAGGTAACATCATCAATGTTCAGCACTTTGATAATGAAACATCTAAGAAAACAATCATGCTCAGAGAGCACTAAGGCACCCCCCACTCCAAGAATTAAACCCAGATATCTTCATGCAATCAATATCTGTATTTTAATATGTTTGCAGTAGCCACTATACATGAGGTGAAATTTGACTAGCATATTTCATATTTTTCATACTAACTCTCTCTGCTCAGAAACTAAATTCTATTAACGGTACATTACTACATTACAGAAATGTTATGGAATACCATACTAACGAGGTTAGACTAAACACTGTTAATAGTGCCTCCTTTTGTAAATTTCAATTTTTGGGATACACTTGAACATATCACATCACATATTCTAACGTATCCTTTTTAAAATACAATTTTATTGAAAGTTTAAAAGCAGGAGTAAAATTGATGCAAACTAGAATAAGGATAAAACTGAAAAGAAGAAATAAAAGAGGAAGTTAATGTACAAAAAGAAAAAAAAAGAAAAAAGGTAGGAAAATTAGAAAAGAAAGAAAAAATATATAAAGAAGTGGCTTCCACTCTTCTTTAAAGCAGTTATAATTTTAATTTACCTTTTTCTCTAAAATTACATCATGTCTCTTCTTTCTGTAATCTATCCTAAAAATCATTAAAAGCATAGGTTCATTTTTTCCCATTTTATGCAAAAAGTCCATAGGGGGTTTCCAGTCAGCAGTAAACATACATAATTGTCTTTTCTGTAATCAAATAGATTAATTTGTCCATCTCAGCAAGTTCTATCTTCACTGACCATTCCTGCATAGGAAAGTTTAATTGAAAGCATTCCTTTTAATCTGATTGATCTGTTGGATTGTTGTTGAAGAAAATCAAATTTCTCATTTTATAAATTTAAAATTTTAGTACACACTTGAATATATCACATAACATGTCCTAATATAGCTTTTTAAAATATCATTAACCATGTTGAATATTTGCTTGAGGAGAAAGGTGGGCTGTAAAGCCAATAAATAAATAAATAACAAAACAGTTGGAAAATAACTGTATTTGCCTTTGAATTTCAAATGAAACATTCCCAGCAATTAAACTGGAGTGAAAGTCTGCTGTGACCATTATGACATCAACATGGTATTTTTTCCCCACTCATAGTTTAAGCCTAATATTTTATGAATGGATCATATTTGACTATATTTGTGAACAACAAATGTTTTCATCTCCAGCTAAACCGTAGTGATCCCCATGGGATAAAAAACATGCATACCTAGTTAAATGTAACCTAATACTTTTACCTCTAGTAAGGAAACCGAAGAATAATATTTGCCTGTATTATTATGTAAAGACAATTTCCTTCTCCTTCTGAGGTTAACTAACCAGCACTTTAAGACTGACTCTCATAGAGTCTTCCTAGAGAAAAGAAGAGAAAACAAGGTCAGCTTCAGATTATATGAAGTGATAATTTCCCAGGATTCAGGAAATTTCACATTCAGATTTCTGGGATAACTAAGTAATTAGACTTATTAAAGGTTTTGATAGTATTTCAGGTGTGAATGTGATTTTCTACATGTAACTGTGTTGAGGATCCAGTTTGGGACTGCTGCTGCTGAGATGCTTGCATAATATCTCAAAGTTTGTTTTGTGGAGATTGAGACTGGGAAAAAGATTAATTGTTCAATCACTGGTATAAGACATGAAGCAAAGTAAGGCTAAGAAAGGCAACAGGGAATGCCAAGAAAGAGGCAACTAAATCAAGACTGAAAGGTAGTTTCATGGTCTCACAAAGAACCTGTACAGCTGTGATTAGATTCAGGGAAGTTTTGTTTTTGTTTGATTTGTCGATCATTCAAAAGCAGATTAACTGCCAGAGAGAAAATGATATTTTGAAGATTATATTAGTGAATTTCTTGATCACTAATAAGGACAATAATTCTTCCTGACTCATTTAGTCAAGACACTTCTATGCCCAATTCCAGAGTTCCGCTTGTGGCTTTACTATAAAATGGTGACATTTGCTAAGTAAGAATTTGTAAAATACTACTATCTATCAATAGAAGAGCTCTGTGTAGCTCAGAATTGAACTTTGGAGTCCTTGGTGCTCTCTGAGTTTGATTGTTTTGGTTGCATTGATGATGTTACCTACTTGGGTAATGAAATGCTTGCAAGAAAACAACCACGTTCAGAGAGCTCAAAGACTCCACTACTATCTATCTAGAAAATAGCCTTCAGTCTTATTAAGTAGGAAAAGGAATTTAGTTCTGTTTTGTTCATTAATGTATTTAATAATAGAGATACAGCAATAATAACAATCATAGTGTTTTGTTCATTGCATTTGCATCAGTTTCCTAACTGGGAAATTTATTCAAAACAAAATGCATCTTTTATCTAAGCGTCTTTTGCTCCCACATATACAAGCCAAGAGTCATCATATCAGAGCCCTCCTGTAGCAGAATTGAATTATCCTTCTCCCAGAATATCATGCTTCCTCTTAGAGTCTTATGAACATAATTGCTGTCCTTCAAACACATCCACATACACACCTCCCATAGTTAAACAAAAGAGCATTAGGAAAATGGAATAGATTGCTTTTTTCTTTTATTTCTTTCACATGAAAGCTGGTTACTACACTGTTAACTTAATAAAGTATTACTCAAAGTAACATTTAAGATATTTTTATCTTTCTGAATCCCAGTAATTAACACTGTCTCTTCTAGCAAAAGATAAACATCAAAGGGCATGATCAAGAAAAGCCAAATTAACATTAAACCTCTTATATAAATTAGGTTTAAATCTCCCAGTGGAAAATGTAATTTAAAATTGATCAGTTTTGGTAATATTAAACTCAACAGTAACAACAAGGCAGTGTAGTTAGATGCAAAGAATATAATTGTGTATATTCTTGATGTATGCAGTGTATGATATATATTATATCTGAGAAAGAAACTAAAATATAGCACCACTGTGTTACGTAACATAGAATGTGCTCTTGAATAGTATTACTAAATACTAGAACTAGACTTTTATTAGTTTTGTAAAGGAATAATCCAGAGATATTTTAGTTTTATGTGAAAATAATCCACATTTGGAATGATTCCTTTATATACATATTTTACTTTTGTTTTTGCTTTCCTTTTGATTAACCAGGAGACGCTTTTCCTTGGACAATCAGTCTGAATTATTTCAGCATCTATACGATTCTCGGGCAGCAGTTGACTCTTAATATCATAGAAACTGTTGGCTGCACTTCTACTCTGGCAGTTACTTCACAAGTGTTGCCCGCTGCAGGATCAGAATCCAGGCACTCATTCGTTGTTTGTCTTCATGTTGACCTTGAATCACTTGAAGTAAAATGCTCAAATCCTCAGGTTGGTGCATTTAATTTATTGGAACAAATTAAAATTGCTTAATTTAAGTATTGTTCTGGATTCTATAAGAATTGTTTTTTTTTTCTTTTAAGTATCTTTCCTATAAAAACCAAGTCATCAAGATCAGGATACTTAGATTAAGATTTGCTTTGAAGCTCTTTCATGTTTTGTAATTTAGATTCATCAGTAATAGCTATAGCACATAAGTGCATCTTGGGTTTGATGGAACGAAATCACTTGCAGATGTATTGTTAAATGTTGAGGCCCTGCTTTGCTGTCAAAGTGGATACATTTGTTGAAATGAATTAATGTACTCTTTGCAGAAATTAACACACGTACCTGATCTCATTAAGCATCAAATTATTTCATCTAAAGTAAAGATACCCTCTATGAGAGTAATAGAACATGACTTTATTTATATAAATATTTTCTTTCTTCTTTTCCAACCAAGCAGTCACTCAAAGTGGTTAGCCATGAATCAAATATAAAAGCAAGTTTGAAATGCATAGAATGCACAGAAATAAAACACCAGTGCCACTCAGTAATTACAAAAAGAAAAGGAGCAAAAGTAGGAACAGTCCCTTAAATAAGGACAGAATACAAGATCAATCAATTTAAAAGCACAAAAATCACAGAATCTGAAAGGGTAAGGAGGAGGTAGCCAGCTGAATATTACAGAGCAATAAATACTATCGTATGATATTAGCTTTCTGTGAATCATTTCCCTTTGTGAAATATTTGTTGAATCTTGAAATTTGCCATATCTTCAAGTAAGTAGTTATTCCCAATGAAAAAGTGAGAAATATTATAACAAATTCTGAATGATTTTATAAAATATATTACAGAAACTTGATTCAATGGATATGTACTTGGTGCAGTGATAGGGTTACAAGATGTCATGACTTATTAATTTATATTTCTTCAGGCCCTTGGAGAAGTGTTGCTGAATTTGTATTTTGTTTACAGCAACAAATGCTTGTGCAATTCTTAAGGAAACTATGAAATTTGACTAGGATAGGAGCTATCTCTGCATTGTTAGTCTTAAGGTTATAAGATAAGTTAATAAAGCTAACAGCATTTAAATTGTACTATAAAATCTCCATTCCCTCCCGACTCCAGGGGAAGGATACTGCAAAATCCCCATTTCCTCCCGATCTGCTGGGACTCGGGAGGCAGAGAATAGATGGGGGTGGGGCCAGTCAGAAGTGGTATTTACCGGTTCTCTGAAGTACTCAAAATTTCCGCTACCGGTTCTCCAGAACTGGTCAGAACCTGCTGAATACCACCTCTGCCTCACACATATGTGCTAGTCATTCCCGACTCTAGGGGGTGGTACTCATCTCCGTTTCAAAGCCGAAGAGCCAGCGCTGTCCGAAGACGTCTCCGTGGTCATGTGGCCGGCATGACTAAACGCCAAAGGTGCACGGAATGCTGTTACCTTCCCACCAAAGGTGGTTCCTATTTTTCTACTTGCATTTTTTACGTGCTTTCGAATTGCTAGGTTGGCAGAAGCTGGGACAAGTAATGAGAGCTCACCTCATTATGCGGCACTAGGGATTTGAACCGCTGAACTGCTGACAAGCGTCTTAGCCACTGAGCCACCGCGTCCCACATGTAACCATTTGGACGCTGCAAATGGCCATACACATGGGCTGGTTGCTGAGTGTCCAACATGGCATGATGTGATCACAGAAGAGGACGTATCTGTCGTAATTTGGGAAGCAGGTTGTAAGTACCCCCAGGAGGTCCATCATAACTTTGAATGGCCATTGCATTGTTTTGCACTCATGTTGGAAGCACCGCTTCCAGGTTGAAAGGATTAGCCAGTGACATCACCATTGCCCAGGGGATGCCCAGTTGGGGCCTCCTTTCAAGTCTCGACCGGAGCTGAAGCAAAGGATGGAAACTCCAGTTTGTGTGTTGATAAAATACTTGTAATTTCTGTCATGTGTAACCTGCATGTGCATAGCCTATCTTCCACTCCCTCCCCTTCCTTCTATCTCATGCTAATTTAAATCTTAAATCAGTCTAGCTTCTCAATAGATCTGATGAAGTCTTCTAATAAAATGGAAAAGATGCTACTATGCTCGTTTTTGATTATTGATATTCAGATTATCGAAGTAAGGAGAGACACAGGAAAAACATTCAGTTCTAACTCTTTAGTGAATTTTGATGGATCTTGGTTAGTAAACTTTCAATATAAAAAAATACTTTTGTCCTGTCCCAGTCCATGCACACACATATGAAGGAGTTTAGGATACTTTATTGAGGCACTGTAAACCCCTAATTTTATTTCCCAGGACCCACTTACATTAAACGCAAAGTCCCAAAGAGTTTTGAGTCGAGGCACAAAGTCATAGGCAACACAAAGTCCAAGGCACAAGTCTGCAAATCCAGACACAAAATCCAAAGTCCAGGTACGAGTCCAAAATCCAAACACAATAACCAATGCCAAGGTCCAAGTCCGGAATCCAAGCACAAAATTCAAGATGGTCAGAAAATTGCATGGTCAGAAAATAAGAAGCAGGTCCAGAATCAAAGAAACACAAAGTCAGAACACACGCACAACAGGGAAGTTGGAGGGGCGAGGATGCCTTGTGAGTAACCTCACCAACCTCTGTTGCACCTCCCTCCGCTTGGCTCTATGCATTCTGGGATCCATTGAGGGAGGCAATTCCTCCTTGTCTCTGCTGACTGACTGCAGCTACATCGCTTTTCCATCGCACTCTGTGCCTCTGATCATCTGCGCTTCCAGGCAGCAGTTAGTCTCTTCTTTCTCCTCTTCAGCCAGGTGCTTGTCTGGTTGTTCCTCTGCCAGTCTCCAATATTCCTGGCTTCTCCTCCTGTTGCCCATTCACTCCTGGCATGGAGTCTCTGCATCCTCCTGATGCTCTTTGGCACCCTAGTCTGGAGCCGGATTTCCTTGTCTGGAGAAGCCATTATAGCTGCTCAGAATAACTTGTTGAGATCGGTAGTCATAAAGTGATTTGTTTTTTGATTGATTGAATGAATGAATGATAGTATTAAATTAAAACATTGAAATAGTAATGTACATTTTTCAGTGTGTAAGGAAATTCTCCAATGTTGTATCAATACAAAAGCAGCTAAGGGAGATCTGTAAGGATAAATTAGGTTCTCATATCCACAAATCAAGTTCTGCTTTATATCAAAACTAGACAGACAGCAATGTTTCCCTGCATCTGTTTTGCCCACTTTAGAAGCCAACATCATTCTTTGTATGTGTCCTGAGGCTGAAACTTCTTCATTAAATATATATAAAAATTTTTTTTCCACAATGGCAAGCGGGTATGGCATCCAGCTGTGGATATGGTTATATATTGTGCAACTTCCATGGGATTTTTTTATATTCTAAATGGCAAATTACATGATTATTGCTTATTTATGAAGTATTTTCCATAAATACTTTAGATCTGAGTTGAAGAATACAGTAAGTAAATTATGCAGAATGTTTTCTGAATAGATAGATGTCATATCCCAGGAGATAGCTCTAAAAATGCTGATTCTTTTCTTCTGTGGTTAGAGACTATTTTCACACCTACTACAGAAATTGAATTCTCCTGTATTCTATAAATTAGATTTTTGTTTTTAGAGCTGCTGATGTTTTAGTTCTACTTGAAGTAGCAGCTTCTATGAAAGTCTGTGAAATAATCCAGAAACTAAATTAACTGTTCATTCATTCAAACCACACGTTAAGCTGTACAAGTGGTGATGTAGTTCTTACAGCCTTACCTACTGTTATTTGATTTCTTTTTCTATGCAGATTTTTCCCATATGTATCAAATGAAAATACTGCTGTAATAAGGCTGTAACAAAATTATTATTTTTAATATACAATTGTATACAATTGTATACAATTATTATACAATCATTTATTGTATGAAGTTGGATTTGTGGGAAATGTTGACATATTTGTTTATGTATTTATTCATTTAAGGTGCAACTGCTATATGAACTAACAGATTTAATGGAGAAAGTTTGGAATAAGATTCATAAGAAGGGAATTTTCCATCAGTCTCTGGCACATACAGAATCTGTTTCAGGACCTGTACCACCTGTTTCACCTGTTAAAAGTAGTATTGGGACTGCTCCACTGGATGCCAGTACATGTAGTCCATCAGCTGACATTGGGACAACTACAGAGGTACTGAAATAAGTGATCTGATAGAACAAGGAATTAAACTGGTAATGAAAGAATAAAGAATTAAACTGGTAATGAAAGAATAAAGCATTCAAATTTATGAATGCATGTGTCTTTTTTATTTTTTTTAAACTCAGTTAAACTGAGTGGTTTATAGTTTGAGTAGTTCATAGTTGAGTGGTTCATAGTTTGTATTTGTGAGTTGGGTAGCCTAAAGAAAGAACAGCAAATGAACACAATTATAACACTTGAGTGATTGCATAATTGCCTAGCTGTCCTCAGACATTTGATTATGGGTGACCAAATATGTTTGCTAAATGATCACGATTATTATTTTATAAGATCATGTACAAGTTATCATTTTGTGTCATTGCAGGTTGCTGAGGGGGCTGCAGTAAAACTACTACAGCTGCTAAAACCATTATGATCGTGTAATAGAAATGTCCGAGAATTTTTATCTCTTTTTGTGGAGATAACCTGTCTTGGATTTACTATTTTCCTTGAATATATTCTGATCCACTAGACTAGAGAGAGGAAGCAGCATTAAAATATAGCATCTATGATTATGTTTAAGACTTAGTATTTGAACATATTAAAGATCCATATTAAAAAAATAATCCATCTTTTAAAAAATGAATATGTTTACAGACTATATCAAGATAAGTGATTAATATGCCTCAAAGGAGACAACATTTTAATGCTTTAAGATAATTGGGCTCTTTAAGTTGAAAATTTTATTTTTCAGGGTTTTAATGTTTTTGTTTTAATTACTGGAATTCTATAGTATAGAAATCCTGTGACATACTTAAATTGTCAAGGAACCACTTTGACTTTTTCCCTTTATTTTGTTGATACATCCCTTATATACACTTTACACTTAAAAACTTGAATATTATAAAAAGAATATGCTGTACGCTAAGCACATTTCTTAAAAATTTCATACATTTCACATTTAAAGTAAACTACTTCTCTATGAGGTCAAAATGATTATTTTGAAAGTGTCTTTAGCTCTTTCAAGTAAAAGACTTCCTATAAATGAACCGGTGGTAGAAAGGTGAGGAGGTATGGCTCACTCCAAAAATTGTTTACATTAAATAGCATATGAAGTATTTATTTATATTATCCAACTGTGAATAATTCTTTTCATTTTGACAGATTGATAGGGAATGCTGCTCCACCATATAGTTAAAGCTGTTAGGATTCCTGAATTACAAACTAGGTAGATCTGAAGATGAAAACTTGAGTGAGAGGCTTAAGAACCAAAGTTTAGAAACACTTAATCATTTTTAACCTCCTCTGCATTTGAGTAAAGGTAGTACAGACTACAACTGGCCACTTGTTACTGTTTACTTAAGTACAAACAGTTGAGGAAGTGTTTAGTCCTTGGGGAACAGTAATTTGCTCCAGACTTCTATCATCCCTGAGCTTTAATGCAGATCAAGGATGAAGGCCTTATATGTTTGGCTTTTCCAGATGAATAAAGATAAATTCTCCTAAGAAAAATATACTTATATTTTGGTTCATTTTGCAAGAATTGGCAAAGAATGAAATTGTGTATTTTAGAGCTTGGTATGAGGAGGGTGGAAAAAATAGTTTACTTTTATTCTAGCTTTATTTTATGCATTTGAATACAAATAGAAAACTAATGCATAAATCGTTTTTAAATAAAATTTAAAATAAAAGTAGATATGGAAACTGAAAGATTATGATAAAGTGTTCATTTTTAGAGAAAAATGGACACAAAAAATAAAATGCAATAATGTTCAAGATTATGGATTATGATTAAAGTGGGCTTTAAAAATAGATCAAAACTACCAAAAAGGACAAATTGTCATACTGAAATTCAGCTGTGTTTTATGAAGTAAACGACATTCTTACGTATTTAGCTTTTTAATTTACAAGACGTTTAGCATTATTTTCAACCTACTTACCTATTGATAATCAAACATTCCTATTATATCCTGCTACTTCATAAGTTTTTGACTCTATAGTGAAGTCAAAGGAAAAAGCCACATCTTCTAAAAAAAGAATAGCTGCTCTTGGGAAACATCTGCAAATTATAGTCATGGTAGCAATCGTTGTGCTCTTGCCAACCTAAATTCCTCTTACGTTTGTGAAGGAAATTCTCCTGAATTTAAGAACAATTCAAAGATCATTTGAATTATCTGTTACCAAGAAAGTACATCTGTGCTTATACCACATGGACAAATATTGTATTTCATCTACAACAACCTCACTGATACAGATATATACAGCTGTTTCCCCTTCCAAACCTTCATTTATTTTTTATTTTTTATTTATTTTTATATTTGAATTTATATACCACCCTTCTCCCCCTAGGGCAGTGGTTCTCAACCTTCCTAATGCCGCGACCCTTTAATACAGTTCCTCATGTTGTGGTGACCCCCAACCAGGGGTGGGTTCTAATTTTTTTTACTACCGGTTCTGTGGGCGTAGCTTACTTTGTGGGCGTGGCTTGGAGGTCATGTGACTGGGTGGGCGTGGCTAGCTGGTCATGTGACCGGGTGGCCATGGCTATGTGTATAGGGACTACTCAGAGGGCTGAAAAAAGTCATTTCTGACAGGTCCTCGCACTTTTGACTGCTCCTCACACTTATGACCATCCTCACATTTATGCCCGTGCAGCATTCTTAACAACCATGTCACTCATTTCACAACTGCTTTTTTTCACCATGGTGATAAGATAGGGCAAAAAACATAAAATGTGAGGATAGTCGTAAATTCGAGATCTGGTCAAAAGTGCGAGGACCAGTCAAAAATAACTTTTTCAGCCCTCTGAGTAGTCCCTGTGCACAAAAGGACTACCCAGAGGGCTGAAAAAAGTGATTTCTGACAGGTCCTCGCACTTTTGACCGGTCTTCGCACTTATGACTGGTCATCATTTATGCCCATTGTAGCATTCTTAACAACCGTGTCACTCATTTCACAACTGCTTCTCTTCACCATGGTGACAAGATAGGGCAAAAACATAAAATGTGAGGACAGTCGTAAGTTCAAGGACTGGTCAAAAGTGCGAGGACCAGTCAGAAATAACTTTTTCAGCCCTCTGAGTAGTCCATATGCATAAAAGGATACAGCAATAGAGAGGGATGAAGGAAGGGAAGGGAAATTAGAGTAGGAGGGAGGGTAAGAGAGGGAGAAAGAGAGGAGGAGAAGGAGAAGGGAAGAGGAAGTAGGGAGGAGAAGAAGAGGGGGAGGAAGAGAAAGTAAGAAGGAAAGAAAAGAGAGAGGTGGTAGATTTGAGGAGAAAGATTGCTGTACAATAAAAAAGATGAAAGGGAAGAAAGCCAACCCCAAACAAATATAAAGATATTAAGATAAAGAATGAATTGTTAAACTTTAAAAAATAAAAGAGAACAAATATGAATAAATAACAATAATTAGAAACAGACGTACAAACATACAATGTATTTTCTTTGAACAGAGCATTTGGCCGGTTCACAAATTTAAACAGTGTTTAGTCATTTCAATTAAATTTACAATTTCTATATTTCCTTTTTGCTATATTTATTCCTCATCTATTTTTGTAAAAAACCAATATTACCCTTCATCCTCATCTCTAATCTTAATCAAATTCAATTTTTCCCTTCTATTCTATATTATACCCCTTCCCATTGTCATCTATTTTTATATCCATCCTCACATTGGTTAATTATGTAATATTACATTTGTTTAATATAAATTCAACATTTTAATATAAATCAATTAGTTATATAACTACCTTTTTGTATATCAATATGAACATGAATATTCCAATTATTTCCATGCAATCCAATTTCTTACAAATCAATTAATTATATTTACCAATAATAATAAACCAAATAATTTCCCCCATATATTCCTCCAAACCACAACTTAACCATTTCTGCTTTCAACACAATATACAATTAATAGTATCTCAATTATTACAATTCCCTAGTTAAATAGAGCTTTTTTTCTTTTGTGTTTTAAAATCTTGAACTCTCCTCTTTTTCCTTAAATTTCCCATTGTTTGCACCTACCTTTTTTGGTGCGGAAAAAGAAAAGAAATCTGCCTTCCTAATTTTCCAACGTTGCAGCAACAGCAAAGCCAACAGCCTGCTTTACTTTCAGTTTCGTTTTTCAGCATAGCTAGGGGAAAAAAATCTGCTCCAGGACTCTTTGCAAGGAAGCAGCAGAGTCCTGAGCAAAACAGCTGAGAGCAAATCAGCTGAGAGTCGGGAGCCGATCTAATCAAGGGCTAATTAGCCTATGCTGAAGCTCCGCGGGTGAATAAAATTACAAAAAATCACCGAACCATTTGTTAAATTGCTGGCTCGCCCACCCCTCGCCCACCACTATTAATTGGCAGTAAATAGTGGTGCAGAGGGGCTGGGCGAGCCAGCAATTTAACAAACAGCTCGGCCGAACCCCCTAGAACCAGCAGAATCCCACCACTGGCTATAGGGCTGCCCTTTGAAGCCCCGTGGCAAGAATTTAAACATTTTTTTTCCCTCTAGCCGTTAGCTGGGACTCAGGAGGCAGCAATAGATTGGGGGTGGGCGGGGTAAGCGAACGGCCGGCGATCCAACAGAGCAGAGAGTGAGGGTGAGTGAAAGCGTGGGGGGGCGCGAGAGAGGGCTTTGGCGACCCCTGTGAAATGGCCGTTCGACCCCCAAAGTGGTCGCGACCCCCAGGTTGAGAACCGCTGCCCTAGGGACTCATAAAGTTGCCAGACTTATTTCAAATGTTTTGAAAATTAACTTAAATTTCATTTCATTTCCATCTTGTTTGCTGTCATTTGCCCATCCTCTTTTTATGATGTGGCCCTTGGCCTGCCATTCAAAAGCCAAGTGAAGCCCTAAACTCAAAGGTTGCCTATCTCTGCTTTAGTGGCTCATTATAAAATGCATTATAAAATGCAGTGTTTACCTCATACCATCTGAGATCTTGGAACTGTTGTGAGATTTATTGTTGCCTTTGTTAGGATACAGATTTTAGCCTTTGAAATTAACTGTGAAACACAGTTAAATGCTTAGTTCTTTGATTATAAGAATATTTTTAAAGTGCAATCATGCTTTCATAGAAAAAAGCTGTTGCTTTTTTTATTTACAATGAGAACAGATTGATCATCAATGAATTTAGAATATTTCAATTTGGGCATTTTCCCACAATAATTATTTTAAATCATACATTACATTGGTATATGTAGCTTCCAGATGTTAAACACGAACATATTTTTATAAAAGAACATTTTGCATTTAGATTAAGTATCAAAACAGTTGAATGCAAGCCATTTTTAAGAATTCAATCTTCCCATGGCATATATGTTATTTTTGTATGCAATTTGATATTTTTGTTTATTATTGTTAGGTTAGATTTGTTATCATGAAAATCATTTATTTAATTAAATTAGTACAGACCAATGTATTTGTATGGAGAGAAGGACACAACTTTTCTGTGTAGTCTATTGATTACTATTTGGCATATTCAGCTAAGATGGTGTAATAAGATGTATCCTGCTTTCAAGCACATAGAAAATAATTCTTTTATAAAATGTTGGGAATAGTTCATCTATTCAGAGAAATAAAAACTTTCTTGAACTTCACTTCTAATCAATACTGAGAATATTTTGATTTTAATTAAATAGGGCTGTCTTTTTTCTTTGACTCCTAATTACATTGCATTGGGAGGGGGTTCAGTTTTGCAAAAAAATACATTTTCTGGAAGTTGATTCTCTGTGAATTATGATGGAGAAGGCAACATTATAGAAATAGGGGGCACCACTGTAAGAAATTTAAATGTAGATGAAGATATCTGCCATGGTTTTCTATTATTCTAACTATGACATCTGTTGCAGTGCTAGATAAATTAGTAAATCTGTGGATATCAGAAATGAATGGGTTGGGTTTATATCCATGTATGTATGTATGTATGTATCAGAGTATTCTCAGCAGCAGGTTCCTCAGAATGTGTGAAAGATGTAAAAATGGATAAGAGTGTTTTATGTCCTAGTTTCTGGTATCATTTTAGAATGGTACCAGTTTAGAAACAGCACATTTTGTTTGCAGACCGGAGAAGAAAGTATTCATAACAATGATATCAGAGTCTTTCCTCACTTTACAGCCCTTAATTAATAAGCCATACCTTGTAAAATATTTTATTTACATATACATTTTCTATGTCAGAATTTCTTTTTCAAATATACTTTTTTATTAACTTGAGTACCATAGGAGTGGTTGATATTTTAAATTTAGAATTTTTTTAATTTGTTCTCTCTCTCTCTCTCTCTCTCTCTCTCTCTCTCTCTCTCTCTCTCTCTCTCTCTCTCTCTCTCCCTCCCTCCCTCCCTCCCTCCCTCCCTCCCTCCCTCCCTGCCTCACTTTCCCTCTCCCTCCCTCTCCCTCCCTCTCTCTCTCTCTCTCAGGGTGAATCCCTCCAAGGTGGTGATGATTCTCCATTCTCAGACTCTGTTACCTTAGAGCAAACAACAAGCAATATTGGCATCTCAAGCGGACGTGTGAGTTTATGGATGCAGTGGATGTTGCCGAAGCTTACTGTAAAGTTATTTGCACCAGATCCAGAAAACAAAGGCACAGGTATTACATTTAATTTTAAAAAGCAAATGGAACAGAATTGGTCTTACATATTTGCTCAAATATGCTGTCCTAATGGAAGCTTAGCATATCCTGTTTCCATGTTTGAGGGAAGAAGACAGACTAAATCACTTTGTTCATTGTCTAGTGTCATTGTTTTGACACTAGACTTGAATAAAATTTCTGGATGGGTCCGAGGACTATAAAATGCATGCTGCGTAAGACCAGAGCCAATGGTTTGCCAGCTTTATGTTAGATAGTAGGATAAATAGAACAATTATGCTTTATCAACACTGAGGCTGTAATTGATGTCCTTCCACGCATCGTATCCCAGTCAGCAGAATCTTAAATATGGCTATAGAACAAGTGATTTTGTGTACCATGTACTGATTGTAATGGCCGCTTTAGGACTGATCTGTCTTTTAAAATGCATAGGTTATATAGTAGCAGCTAGAAATTATATAACTACCGTATTTTCCGGCGTATAAGACGACTGGGCGTATAAGACGACCCCCAACTTTTCCTGTTAAAATATAGGGTTTGGGCTATACTTGCCATATAAGACTACCCCTCTTCCAATGCACACCAAATAAAAATTAAAAAACATCAACTGGCTCACCTACAATGTAAAAGCAGCTGTGCTAGACCCAAAATGGCCCCTGCAACAAGCAGGAACCTCACACAGCCACAAAAAGCCCCCCCAAAAAACTTTCACACTCTAAACACACACACACAACACAACTGGCTCACCCACAATGTAAAAGCAGCTGTGCTAGACCCAAAATGGCCCCTGCAACAAGCAGGAACCTCACACAGCCACAAAAAGCCCAAAAACCAACTTTCACACTTTACACACACAAAATTCCACATACAGCTTTGTGAGATTTTGTGTGTTTGTGTAGTTAGAGTGAAACACTACAGAAACACACTAAATCTCAGAAAGCTGCACAAATATTATTTTATTTTATTTTATTTTTATTTTTATTTTTATATGAAAATTAAATTTAAAACTTCCTAAACTTTAAATGGCTAGGTCTAAAAAAGAACTAAAAAAACCCCAATTGACTATTTTTTTTAAAGCTCCCGAAGGGGAAAAAAACTTACCCAATAGAACAGGGGTCTCTAACCTTGGCAACTTTAAGACTTGTAGACTTCAACTCCCAGAATTCCTCAGCCAGCTTTGCTTTGCTGGCTGAGGAATTCTGGGACTTGAAGTCCACAACTCCCTGCTTGCTTGATTGCTGATTGCTGATGGAATAGATTCAGGCAAGCGAAGCAAGGCAAGCGTTGGGACTAGCAGCTGAGGTAAGCAAGCTGGAGGGGAAAAACTTTTTATCTTTTACATGGCTCTGGCCATCCCAGCTGAGTTGCAGGGAACTCAGCTGGGATGGGATCGACCGTCAGAGCTGGGACCGTCAGAGCCATGGTTCTGGCGATCCCAGCTGAAGTTGCAGGGAACTCAGCTGGAATCGTCAGAGCTTGGATCGTCAGAGTAAAAGGGAAAAAAACTTTTTTCCTTTTACATGGTTTCTGGCGATCCCAGCTGAGTTGCAGGGAACTCAGCTGGGATCGTCAGAGCTGGGATCGACTGTCAGAGCTGGGACCGTCAGAGCCATGGTTCTGGCGATCCCAGCTGAGTTGCAGGGAACTCAGCTGGATCGTCAGAGCTGGGATCGTCAGAGTAAAAGGAAAAGACTTTTTTCCTTTTACATGGTTTCTGGCAATCCCAGCTGAGTTGCAGGGAACTCAGCTGGGATCGTCAGAGCTGGGATCGACTGTCAGAGCTGGGACCGTCAGAGCCATGGTTCTGGCGATCCAGCTGAGTTGCAGGGAACTCAGCTGGGATCGTCAGAGCTGGGATCGCCAGAGCTGGGATCGCCAGAGCCATTTAAGGCTCGTCAGAGCCTTTCGGGCTGGTCTGCCTGGTTACAGGAGAACGACACCCGGCGTATAAGACGACCCCCGACTTTTGAGAAGATTTTCATGTGTTAAAAAGTCGTCTTATACGCCGGAAAATACGGTAGATGGATTTATAGTAGTGGGTATATGCATACTGTCATTTAGCAACATGTACTTGTATGCATATAGCTTTAGTCAGGTCCATGGCTTTGTTTGTGGAACCGAATTCAGCCCCTGTCCCTCTCCTTTATGAATACAATATCTGTATACTAAGCCCATTGGGAGATAAGGTTAAGAGTAGGGGAAACCAAATTATACATGAACTTTCCATAGTTTCTGGGGGAATTATTAGTTGTTTAAGATTTGTCTTAATAATATTGGTTTGAAATTAAGGCAAACTTATTTTCTTCTCCATTTCTACAAAATAACCATGTGACTTATTGGTGAACTGGTTAATTTTATTGGCTACTGCAGAGATATGTGTGGTTGGTGAGTTAGAAGATCTCAGTGCCTCAGTAGATGTACAAGATGTCTACACTAAAGTAAAGTGTAAAATAGAAAGTTTCAACATTGACCACTACAGAAATAGGTAAGAATTTTATGTTCATTTTACATTAGTATTCATATAGAAACATACTATATTGTTTAAATGGTAATAATTATTGATCTGAAAGGTTGAGGCTACATATTTGAAATTATATTACTATGTCATAATTCTACATATCAATATTACAATCTTGGTTGTAATTGGAAGTTCATCTAAATTGTGTCCAAATATGCCTCCTCACTAACATCTTAAATGAAGTTGTTGACATGACAAATTTCACAACCTCTTAAGCCAAATCTTGGCTATAAAAAGCCAGCTAGCAGGTAATTGGCACCAGAGAGTCAGCATATTCTATCTAGATTTTAACTGTTTATAGCTCTTGGTCAAAGATTAAGCCAGGCTAAATGCTTAGCGTAGAACAGGGATATCAAACTCAGTTTCATTGAGGGCTGCATCAGGGTTGTGTTTGACCTCGGGGGACCGGGGTGGGCATGGCCAGGGTAGGTGTGGCCTAGAACATGCCTTCTTTTCCCATTGGCAGTTCTTCCTGAACAAGGAGTATATCTAGGAAACAGCTTGTTGTACAGGTAGTTCTAACTTACCGATTGCCTCATTTAGTGACCATTCAAAGTTACAACAGTTTGGGTGGAAAAAAGGCTTTGCAACAAAATCTTGCACTAACAGCCATTGCAGCGTCCCATAGTCACATGATTGCCATTTGTGAATTTCACAACTAGTTTCCAACTGGCAGAATTAATGGAAAACACAGAAGTGAAATTGCAAGTCATGATCACATGATACGCATGTGATTTTTCACTTAGTAACCACACCCTTAGTAATGGAATTACTGGTCTGAATTGTAGTCACTAAGCAATGACTTCCCTGTACTTCACTTTTAACTTGAAATGTTCCCTCTTGCCTGGAAATTGTAGAAGCCATGACATATTTTCGTGATAGTATTGGTTACAAAGGCTGTGGGCTGACCTGTTAGGCAGATACATTCCTTACTATGTTGATTATCTATCTTTTTCTGTCACAATCTCTGGTGTTCATATATACTTTTCCTTCCTTCCTTTTTTGCTTCTTTATTAAACATTTTGTCATATTCTTAATTAAGGTTGTTAATTTATCATTAAAAAATGAAATGAAATTTTAATCTTGCCATAGAAAAGAGAGATATCCTTCCTTTTGTGTATGATTTTTGTGAGCTGAAATTGTAGAAATTTGATACTCTGGTGGTATAATATTCATAACATGTTCCATGAAAAAAACCCTCTTATATTCTAATACTTTGTTGCTCAGATTAAAAGTGTCAGATATAGTGTAATAGTAATAGTGCTATGTTGCTGAAATGTATTTTATATATAAGAAATAGCAAAGATTACAATAGTTCGGTAAAGCAAAAGTCTTCTAATCAGCAATATGAAAATATATGAACTGCCATTTGGATTAGCCTCATTTAAAATTATGATGGTGCTGAAAAAAGTGATGTATAACTGCTCCTCGCAGTTACAGCCATCGCAGCACCTCACAGTGAAATGATCAAAATTCAGGTGCTTAGCAACCAGCATGTATTTATGATGGAGTGTCCCAGGATCACCTGATTGCCATTTGTGATTTTCCCAGGGGGCTTCTGACAGGCAAAGTCAAAGGTGGAAGCCAGATTCACTTACCCACAGTCATTTGCTTAGTTATAATGACAGGAAGGTCATTATAACCAGGGGTGAAATGCTCCCGGTTCGGACCGGATTGCCCGATCCAGTAGCGATGGAGGCGGGTGGTTTGGAGAACTGGCAGCAAAAATCCCTGCCCCCCCATGTCCAGTTTGGATCGTCAGAGGCATTTAAAAGAAAAAAAGCCTATGATGATCAGGCAACTCAGCTGAGTTGGCTGATTGTCAAGCTGAGTTTGACGATCCAAGCTGATGATCCAAGACGATGCCTGACGATCCAAGCTGAGTTGCCTGATCAGCAGAGGCATTTAAAAGAAAAAAAGTCTCTGCTGATCAGGCAACTCAGCTGGGATCGTCAGAGCCTTTTGAAAGCATTTTTGCCGAAGAGGTTGTAGAAAAAATGGTTTTAAAAGTAAAAAAAAAAAATGGCCACGCCCACCCAATCACATTACCCCCCCAACAAGCCTGCCCACAGAACCAGTTGTAACAAATTTTAGATTTCACCATTGGTCATAACATTAGTGTGACTCGCTTAATGACTTCATCAATTAACAATGGAAGTTCCAGTCCCATTTCTGAACGTAGGTCGAGGATTTCCTGTATATAAAAGAATTATTACTATTTAAAGTTTAAAGAGTAAAAAAAAAAATCTCGTTATCTATATTAACTAAAGATGGCTCTAGGAATTTATGATAAAACAATCTTATTCATAACATGGCTGATGTAACAGTTATTGAGAAGAAGAAAGGTTTGTTCACTGATGCTACTATTCCAAACTGAGGAAAAATAATTGGAAAAAATGATGAAATACATGAAATGATGAAACAAGCATAATGCATATGTATAGATAACCAACTAAATAGAGCAGGGGTGACAAATTCAGTGCTTAGATCTGGCCCATGGGGCTGCCCTGGAAACAGCAAAGGACTGGCCTGCAGTGCCTCTGCCAGCAAAAATAGAGCAGCCCTCCCAGGCTCTGTTTTCAGGCAGGGTGGCCTCCTATAGCCCTCTGCCAATGAAAACGGAGCTCGGGGGGCTCGCACGGCCCTCCTGAGCTCCATTTTCACTGGAAAAGGGTTGCAGGAGGCCAGCCCAGCCAAAAATGGGGCCACACCTACCCCAGCCCTGCCACGCCCATCCGGTGTCCCAAGGTCAAACACAAACTTGATGCGGTCCTCAGTGAAATTGAGGGCCATGGCTTAGGACCTGGTTACCTACGGGACTGCCTACTACCACCAATAGCCTCCCACCAGCTGGTACGCTCTCATAGAGAGGGGCTCCTCTGGGTGCCGTTGGCCAAACAATGTCAACTCTCTGTGAGGGCACCTACTATCTGGAATGAGCTACCCCCGGAGATACGGAGGATCCCGGATTTGCGCACCTTCCGCCGCGCTCTCAAGACCTTTTTATTCCATCAGGCAGGCCTGGCCTAATCTTTTCCCTCTTTTTTAATTATGTAAATTTTAATCAGTTTTTAAATGATTGGAGTGTTTTAATCTGTCTGGGCCAAATTGTCTAATTCGATTTTATTCTGTTTTTAAATTTTGTATTTATGTATTTTTACTGCTTTGGCTGTTCACCGCCCTGAGTCCTTCGGGAGTAGGGTGATATATAAATCAAATTAAAAAAAAAATTGAGTTTGACACCCCTGAAATAGAGTTATTTTAACTAAAATATGTAACTAGTGGAGAAAAGATATATTTGAAAAAATATTGGGGTGGATTATACAGACAGTAGAACAATAGTTAGCAAAATTCAGCAAAGTAGAATCTTATTGGTCTATCAGTAGAACTGGAGGTAAAAGGGGTCAGAGCAACTGGAGAGCTTGACTAAATGAAGGAATACTGATTCCTGGTGAACATCAGCCCAGAATAAGTATTACAATCCTCCACTGCAAAGGCACAGTCACTGCTCAAATACTTTTATCCACACATTCTTTGCTATCCATCTGGATTCCTGAACTTTAGTCTGTTTCCTGCTTACTTCTTATACTTGCTCCTCTGAATAGGTTGTATTGCCTCTGTTGTTTTCAGTCCTGAAGTGGAAGTGAACAAGTCTACTTCTTTTCTGTTCAGGGTATGTATCTTTTGAATCATTGACCTTAGTTTGTCACATCACATTATGCTGGATATCCTTGGACATACATGATACTGACTATTCTTGAAATTAAAGTATTGCTGCAAGATACTCAGATGGATCAGCTTGTTCAAGTAACTATTATAAAAGTTATGCAGGGATAACTAAATAGACTGGAGTTGAGTCAGCCTTTGTAACTGAGTTACCTGAGTGAAAATGCCTTTTTGCCTCACCTGCAAAATTTGTCTAAAGTGCTGAAAAGTTCCCCAAAATTCCAGCTCATGCAGTACGTATGCAGCTGCAGGATGACTATACACAAGTGTATTTTTAAATCAATTCTCTGACAGGCCTTTTGATTGATTGGCAGGTTCATATCTGTTGGAGTAAATCCCACTACTTTGCTGTTTGTAGGAGAGATTTGAGGAGATTAGAAAGTAGAGACATTTAGGTGCCTAGTCCAGCAACGTTTGGTTTACTGCATAAGTCTTTACCTGGAATAGGCTGCCTCATATGCCAATGTCAAGAAAAGATGTTGGATGTGTTAGAATATATATTGCCTCCTGGCATATGTTTAAGATCAGTGGATGACCGGAAGTTTAATACAGTCAACACTGGCATAACAAATATTGAAGTGCCATGAATCCAGTGTACTCAGCTGCTATGGCACTTTCACAGCAGAAAGGGCTATACCATAGCTTTCTGGAAAGAAAACCAGGCTGGGCATTTACTATGAATATCTTTGAAAAAAAGATGCTTTGCAAATGGGAACAAATCACTCTAGGACTAAAAAGGTAATCAGTTTGAAGTGGTGACTAATCGTGCTCCTAAATATCCCAGTGAGACACTGCCACAATTACCTTTGTTCTAGTGATTTTGTGAATTTTGTATTTCACAAACATGGAATTGCCTTGGAAAATTCATTCCTTCTGTTTCTATGGTTGTTACAATAATTGGGATAAATTCAATTCAATGTAGTACCTAAAATCCCTGTTTCCTGTAGCATTAAGTTCACTGTGAAGATTCTATGAAATGCAATGTTCCTGCAGAAAAACAAAATATTTCTCCAGTAAATATCAAGGGTATTTGCAGCTGTTGCAGCCTAGTGCTGCTGTTGCAACATCAGAAGAACCTGAGTTATGTTGTGGGCAAAGTGTCAATTTCTCCAGGATGGTTTTCATGAAGAAGAAACAAACCAGCTGCCTGTACACCATCTGTGACTATACTATTCATTTAATTCCAGGCTACAGATTCTATCTTATTGACTTTGTACCTTATCTGAACTGGAGTTAGATATGTCACACAAGTTTTAGGAAGAAAACCATCTGCACTGGGGTTTCATTTAACTTTTCAAATCATCAGGTGTTGATAAAAGGAAAGGAAATCCTCATGTAAGCAGACTCACGCTCCTGGAAAAAGACAAGATATAAATAAAATACATACACCATGAACAAAATACATTGTGTACTAATCATCAAGCAGAAGAACATCCTGGGTTATGCAAAATACCCCCACCTTTCCCATGATTTCTGGTGGTCTTGGGTTATGATTGAGATTAAGGACAACATTGAGGCATGCCCAATGTGAGGAAGGGCTGAGAAATCCTTGAATCTTCTCATGTCTTGACCCAGCCAAGCATCTGAGAAAAGTAATTTATATGGATTTAATTACAGAGCTTCTAAACACTCAAAGACATACTAATATAATAGCATTCTTCAACTTATCACATTTTGTCCTTGGCTATGCATTATTGTGAATTGATTCTTCCATTGCCACTAATGAAATCAAACAACTGTTCTTGAAATGTCTTCAGACTTCATGGGATGTTTTAATGTATCATCACTTCAGTTCACTGTTCTGGAAAAACCATCTCAAGGGTTTAGGAATGCAGCTAAATTCCTAAATACTTTGACATTCTCAACCTGATTGAGAGAGTGTATCAACCCTATCTTAGAACAATATATGTGTATTAAAAAGTCTGATTTACTTGATTTACTACAAAATAATTCATAACCCATCTCTATGCTTCTACCTTGTTCTGTGCAATTATGAAATGCACCTCTTATTTTTTCCAAAATTACATTCTCCATCTTCCAGCATTAGTGGTAGAGCAGCCAATAGAAGACCTACTGTTAGGTAGCTGAGCAAGTATTACTACTTGCTCAGGGAGAAAACAGTGTTGACTTCACTAAAAATTTCTGACAAAGGTCGACTTCCTCTGAAGTATTTATCAGTGCAAAAATTAATTTTTTGGTTTACAGGCATATTGAGAATCCCAGTCAATCCCAGGAAATGATGAGAATAAAAATCTATATGTGATCTCTGACTTGACATATTAGATCTGAACATTGTTTTTTGGACAGGGCTTGACACCGAAGAAACCCATGCCCACAAGACAATAGGATATTACTGCCAATAGGAGATTACAAAGCTAATTCAAGATTAGAAGGCTAAATTCAATAAAATCTTATTTAGGAGATTGCCATTTCCCCTCAGTAGATTATTTTCTCTTAAAAGCCAGCAAGCAGAGTCTGAGTATGAGTGGATTTTTAAAATAATCTCTGCATAAACCTTTTGGGCAGAAGACAGATCCTGGAAACAATGTCTGTTGTTCCCTACCTGTGCTGCAGTTTCTGAACCTTGTCTTTTCTGCTCCCCAAGTTCCCCAAAAGTTTAGCCTGCTGCTTGACTATTCTTTACACATGTTCCGCAGAATTGCTTGTATTATCTTTATTTAACAGCTAGCATACCTCCATTCGCTTCTGCATACAATATTCTCCTTCCTTGGCATTATATATTTCCAGTAGAGGTTCTTTTGTAATTGTCTACTTATTACGGATCTGTGTATTCTACTCTTTAATACAGGACTATCCTATTTAATTCACATTTTTAATGAAGTTGTATTTGCTTTTTAGCATTATATATTTTTTCAGATTGCATCTTTATACAGTATACAATATAGGCATTGTTTTGAACCTGGAGCAACTTTAGTCAAAATAACTTTAGTTTCCTCCTGCTTTTTCTTTTCCCTTTCCCTTTCCAAGGATTTTTTTAAAATCCACTATTAGGTTACTATATTTTTCCTCTGAAATTATGCTCTAGGAATGCATATTGAGAGATGTCCCAGACTTTGTGACTGTTTCCATTCTATTAGTCATAGATTTAAGAGATAATTATTTGTGGATCAGTTCTTCAATTATCAATTTGTCTTACCATTAAGATCTGTAAAAGAGGGATTTCTTCCTCTGTTAAAGAGACATTTATATAGTTTACTTTCTTCTCAGATGAAACATATGTCTTTAACATATGTCTACATTGTAGATATTAGACATTTCTTTTGCATTTTTCCCAGAAGTTTGTAAATTTTGTAGAATGTTAAATATTGAAAAGAAGCTTGCAAATCTTGATTAGCTTTCTGAGATGTGTTGTATCTGAAGTTGCACTTGAAGTCAACCTGGAAACTTCTGCTGGTGGAAGATATATAGCTGCCCTTTGCCCACAGAATAATACCATGATATTGCTGTGGGAGCTGCAATAGTTGTTAGCTTATTCCAAATGTAATTCAAGGTGCTGGTCATCACCAATAACTCATTCCATGAATTGAGGTCTGACTAGTTTAGTGACCACCTATCCCAACTAACTTCTGCTTGCCTGAACTGTGTGAATAATATCTACTAATGACTCTTTCCTGTCATGAGATACTAAAAGAGGGGTACCAAGATAGGCATTTAAAGAATGGCCTGTTCACACAAGCTTCTGGGATCTGTTAACATCTGAGTTTTTTGGAAGGCCTTTAGAAGTAAACAGCTAGAATAAGTTGCACCAAATATTGCTGTTTTATTGTTTCATTTTTTTCTCCATATTATTTTTTTCTGTAATTTTGACTTATTTTATATATTACCTATAACCATGATGGTGAACCTATGGCACGTGGAGCCATATCTGTGGGCACGCGAGCTTTGCCCTAGCTCAGCTCCAGTGCACATGCGTGTGCCAGCCAGCTGATTTTCTAGCCTTCCGGGCCCACCGGAAGTCAGGAAATGGGCTGTTTACGGCCTCCGGCGGGGTGGAAAAGGCTATTTTCGCCCTTCCCAGGCTCCAAGAAAGCCTCTGGAGCCTGGGGAAGGTGAAAAACCAGCCTACCATGCCCACCGTGCCATTGTGTGCCAAAAGTGGGGGGAGTGCGGGGGGTCATGCGGGCATGCACGGGGGGCAAAGTGCATTAAATTATGCATGTGGACACACGCGTGTGTGACCCCCCCGCACTCCCCTCGCTTTTGGCACACAACGGCAAAAAGGTTAGTCATCACTGACCTATAACATTTGAATTGAAACAGTTTATTGATCCAATAAACAAACAAACAAACAACTAATGTTGATATTAACCTTGTATACATATTTTAATATTAGTGCAGTTATTCAGGTAGTCCTCAACCATTCATTTAGTGACCGTTCAAAGTTACAACACTATTGAAAAAAAGTGACTTACAACTATTTTTCACACTGTCGCAGCATCCCTATGGTCACATGATTAAAATTCAGATACCTGGCCACTGGTTCATATTTATGTCGATTGCAATGTCCCAGGGTCATGTGATTACCTTCTCACAAGCAAAGTCAATAAGGAAGTCAGATTCACTTAACAACTGTATTATTAACTTAACAGCTGTAGTGATTCACTTAACAACTGTGGCCGGAAAGGTTCTAAAATGGGACAAAAGTCACTTAACAACTGCCTTGCTTATCAACAGAAATTTTGGGCTCAATTGTGGTTGTAAATTGAGGACTACCTATACAGGTACATGTAAAATTGAATGGCAGCTGCATGTACTTTAAAATTTATTTATTTTCATTTTTGTTGTGCATTGTTATTTATTATTATGTTGCGGCTCCCCCACCCCTTCCTGGTTAATGCCTGGAATTGTTTGTGCAAGATGGGTGGCTATAGAAATTGAATCAATCAATGAATGACAAAATAAAATGTATATGTTTTTATGTAGTTGAAATGTTTAAATTCTGAACAGCTACTTAGAATAGATAAGGTGAACATTATGTTTTCCAGACCAGGAGAAGGCTGGCAATCTGGACATTTTGAAGGGATATTTCTACAATGCAAAGAAAAGCTTGTGGTGAGCTTTTTATGTAGTGGAATAATACATTTAACCAAATAATTACCCTAAAATCTAAATATGACTTTTATTTTCATTACAAAAAGAATGATTGCAACAATTATGATGTAAGTCATCACGATGTTAATTTGCTCTTGCAGAGGTGGATGGGAAAAATCTGTTGAGTTTTGTTTCTGTCCAAGTTCTGTAGCTCTTTTAATCCATCTCCTTCCATTTTAATAAAACTTCTTTTGTTCATAATTGAAAAGCAAATCAAGTGACATTATCCCTGAATAGCCATGTTCTACCGTGAGCCCTGATTTTTGTTGTTGTTGCTGCTGTTCTGCTGAGCTGTTGCTTCCAAATAATGAAACAGTGACATCTTTTTCAATTTCATGATTTCTCTTTTTTAAAAAAAATCATTTGATCTGTGATATTGGAAGTGAAGGCCTCACAAAGAAAACTCAGACTTCAGAATTTGGCTTAATTTTTTTTAATGCCTGTGAGTTTTTTTCCCCTTAAGGCTCAGTGTTTATTTTTCTGCTTTTTTTTATCTATATCACCTCAAGCTTTGGGGAAGATTCTTGGTCTCTGGGGAAATGTGGAGGTGTCTTCCTTTCCTGTACTGACAAGCTGAACAGACGTACATTACTGGTTCGACCGGTCAGCAAGCAGGATCCTTTCAGTAACTTCTCTGGCTTCTTTCCTTCTGTAAGAAATCAGTGCAATATGTATGTTACAGAACTTCCACTAACAAACAGTATTTCAGAGAGGTGATGGTGAAGGCAGAAAGCTGTTCATCTAAAAACCCATTAGTCAAAGTCGTATTTTTGTTTTTTAATGTTTAAAAAATATGTTCTGTTTCTCAGTGGTATTCTGGCTAGGGTTTTCACATGCAAAGTAGGTTGGCTAGAGTAGCAAAGGAAGAATATTTATCTTCACAAGTTATGGATTTGAATTTAATTATGTGAAGAATGATGCATATATTTGGCCGTTTAAGAAGCTACAGCTGTACAAGTTAATAGTTACAGGATAGGTTTAAGTGTTTTGCTGCTCCACGGCTGTTAGCAAAATTACTGAGTGCCTATTAAAATATTTGAGATAATTTTTTGCAAACTTAAAGCAAACTCACTGCCAAAACCCAAAAGCCACAGTAGGATAATGCTAACTTTTGTTCAAAGTAGCTAAAATCTTCCAAGATTTGTGAGTGAGATCAAGTTTTAACACGCTTTAGAATTCAAGGCTTAATGGGTTACCAATGGAAGAAAGGGAAATATATAGATATAGGAGGAAATGAAAGCCACTCTAGGATAAAACTTTTTTAAAAAATATTTGCTAATATAGGGACCCTAAAATAGCCATTTGTTTTTTTCTATCTCATATATATTCTATATTGCTCTAAATATATTTTAGTGACTGCTAGAATATTTTTTTAAAAGTCAACTGTACTGTTGTTTTGTTATACTAGCTTCTCTTTATATACACCATCTTTTTTATATTTGGCAAAATTAATATGTTTAAGACTGCCTTATATATTAATTCACTTGTTACTTTCCATGGAGAAATCTCAATCTCTCTAGGACACACACATATATACACCCCATCTTCTACATTCAGATTTTTTATCTTTTGAGCGTGGAAAAAAATAACAAATTCAATTACCTGATTTTCTTTATTTTCATCTTCCTAACACATTACTGAAAATTTGTATAATTTCCCAAGGAGTAATTCTTTAAGTCTATTGCAACAAAAAATAATTTAAAAAGTACTTAATGTCGTCTTAAAGACTGACCATCTTCTTATGGCTTAATTTTTCATGGAATATAGCTCACTTCATCTAATGAACAGAATATTGTTTAGTTTGTATATATGTACCCAAGATCTATTTTGATTGTGATGTAACTGCATGAGAATTAATCAAGATATTTATTTTATTGCATGTAGAACATTTTTTTCCACTGATGTAGTCATCTGTCTCTGGCAGTTTCTTCAACTGGACAGAAACATGCTCTGTGTCCCATTAATTAAACAGTATCACCAGTACCCAATAAATGGACTTCTTAATCTTATTGTCCCTCCTTTGGAGCAAGATCCCACAGAGTCTCTATCCTGGCCTTATGAAAACAGTAAATATGTTCTCCAGTCCTTGGGCAAAATGGGTGGCAGGCTTTTTATGGGCTCTGCATGTTAGGTATGGAAACTTTGTTGGTCTCCTGGATATCCATCATTCTATCTATTTGATTGTTATTTTTATTATTCTTGTAGCCACCCAGAGTGTTTATGGATAACTTTATAAACCTGATAAATAAAATCAGGTTTAGCAGAAGATCAGCAGAAGATTCTATTAGAGTACATTTGTTTTTAATGTGCAACAGAACACTTCTCAATAAGATAAGCACAGTGCAGTCTCAATTCCACATTGTTTTCTTTCTGCTCTAAGAAGAAAGTGAGAAAGTCCAAGGTTTTCACCATGTTGAGATTTTCTCTATGGGCAGTAATGAATGAATAGGCAGTGTTGGCTAATATATTCAATAAGATAAATGTATTCTTTAAAATGTGTTACTGGAAGTTCTGTTTTTTAATTATTATCCTATCAGGAATACACACAATTATTGTTCATGCAAAATTATTGTTTATATCTGTTCCAATCATTTTGTTCTAACACGAATTAAGCTAATTTACTAATATTTACTATTTGCCATAGTCCATTTTCACCATGCAAAAACACTTGTTCAAATTATATAAAGTGAAATATAATTAAATTTTTAAATAATTTGTTAGTATTAGAAAGAAAATGTTAAATGCAGTATATATATACACTGCATGTATAGAACTCCAATCAAAACCAGATTTCAAATATTATTCACAACATGGTAAGCCTGGTAAAGAAGGAAGGGAGGGAGGGAGGGAAGGATTTCTCCAAATATAGAAGTAGTAAATAACAGGTAGTCCTCACTTAATGATCACAATTGGGACTGGCAACCCCATTATTAAACAACACAGTTCTTAAGTGAGGCATCAGATGACCACAATTGGCTTATGACCTGTGATTATTAAACAAATCATCTGCAGTCATTATGTAAGACATGACATAAGACTGTCCTGTGATTTTACTGCTGGTTCCTCCATTGGCTTTGTTGGAAGTCAGCAATAAAGAGTGCAAATGGCATTTCCATGATCATGGAACACTGTGATAGTCATAAACATCTACTGGTCGCAAAGCACACAATCTCAGTCATGTGACCATGGGGATGCTATGACAGTTGTAAATGTGAGGACTGGTCGTAGAGTTAATTTTTCAGCACCGTTGTAACTTTAAATGGTTGCTTAATAGGAGAGTCATTAAGTGAGGACTACCTGTATAAGCCATAGTTTTGAAACACATCTAAATGTGCCTACATACACACACAACATGCATCTGGATTGGTCTCATTTGGATGTGACGCAAAATTGTGGCTTGGCATCCTTTAGATGCATAGAGTATGCAGATGGATGGAATCTAAAGCATCCATTGTTGATTTTCAGTTAATTGGTGAAACAAAAACTGTTCGCAATTAACAAACTTAAGAACTATATTATAATTTATTTATTTATTAAATTGTTCTGCCACCATCACCCCTACAGGGTGACTCTGGGTGGCCATAATTTCAAATCCTGATTTGATAACGATAAACAATTACAATGAATCCTTGTTTCCTAACTTTTGATTGAGTTAAAGTTGCAGTTTAATCAAAGTTAACAATGAAAAGATATTTCCTGCCTTTGTATGCAAATGCAAAGAAAACAAAGAAGCGATCAGGAGCCTGAAGTTTTCTATGGTTCATCCTCTGCTTCTCTGAACCAATCAGTTAGCATACTCTATATCTGAAGCTAAATCATGTTTCTCAACTTTGGCAACTTTAAGATGTGTAGACTTCAATTCCCAGAATTCTAGGAGTTTACATTTACATGGCTTAAAGTTGTCAAGACTGAGAAACACTAAGTTAAATGCATTTTAAAACACCTCTATGGATGAACAAATTTCAGTCAGGTCTTCAAGGAGACAGGGCATTTATTATTTTCATAAATTCTGAAAAATACATTCTTCTGCCAAGAAAGTGGAGAACTTGAAAAATCAGAAACAGTTTTATAACTGTGATGTAATGCATGCAGATTTCTTATTTCTGGATATTTCTGTTTCTCGGCACAGGCAACTGCAAAACTTTTGGATGGCTCTCATCAACAGCATGGATTTCTCTCTTTAACTTACACGAAAGCAGTCACAAAAAATGTCCGTCACAAATTGATCTCAAGAAATGAACGAAGAACTTTACAGAAATTATCTGAAAGTTTTACAGATAGTTCTCCTCATTTTCTTCATGAGATTCTTCTTTCAGCTCAGGCATTTGATGTTGTTTTATGTTTTCCTTTCCTCAATGCAATTGCAAGTATTTTTCAAACAAATCTTCCAAAGAGTCAAAAAGAGAAAATAAAATCTCCAGGCCAGCCTATGAGGTCCCATATTCTCACATCTCGCAACTTGCCACTTATTTATGTCAATACTGGAGTAATCAGAATCTTCTTCCCCAAAATGGAAGAAGGACCATGTAACACAGAAGGTATTTTTTAAAGTTTGTGTACTTATTTAGAAAACACATACTTTGGTCACTCCATCAATACCTCTGGGGAGCCTGTAATGAATATTCTTTGGATCTTGTTTTCTCAAATGATTTATTGTATCATGTCTTTAATGCAGTTTTTCTTTAATTATTTTTAGTGCATTTCTGTAATAAAAGGGAAAACCCACTGCACTAATTTATGGTACAATATCTTTTTTCTGAAAATAAGGGTTTTTTAAAAGATGGCTGTCTGTGAAATAAATATTTGATCGATTTGCTTGACCTATGTCATGACTTTTACACTAATGTGTGTGTCCATATTGTTAATTATGGCCTTTGGTTGTTTGATTCATTGTGGGTGCATTTCTGTGGTATATTTAAGTCAGTTTACTTACACACACACATGCACACACACACACACATTTGATTCTTCTGAACTGCATGTGAAGCTTGCTTGTTCTTTCCACATCAAGCAATATGTTATTTAGTAAAATACTTAGCACTCACCACACTTAACATTTGTAGCTAAAAGTTTAACTTTCAAAACAAGTCTGGGATAACTCACTGGGTGGCCACAGATGGAGAAATTGAAAGCTTACATCCATCCTCAAAACATAGACTCATGGAGAACACTGGGCTTGCCTTTATGTATATATCAGATGTCAATATCAGCTTCTAAAATATAATAAAATCCTTCACAGGCTTAAAAAAAGTTACAAAAATATAGTGTGTAGATTGATTGCTGTACTAAAACATGTCAGTTCTTTATATATTAGACTGATGCAGCATTTCTTCCAGTTTAATGCAGTGCAGAGAGTACAAGCCTTAGATTGCAAACAGCTATACTGAATTATAATATGTGGTTACAAAACCCAATAGTTGGACTGAGGTTTTGATTTAAGCCAAAACCAATCAGGGCTCATAAATAAATAAATAAATAAATAAATAAATAAATAAATAAATAAATAAAATAATAAATAAATAAATAAATAAATAAATAAATAAATAAATAAATAAATGCACTTGGCTGTGAAAACTGGCTTTCTGTGTGAATTAGTATCAATAAATAATGTATTATTTTGTTAGTAATAATTTAACAAGTTTGTTGTTCAGAAGTGACCTTAAATCATATTTATCCACTTCAAGTTCTTTTGTTAATGACTGGCTTTTATAACGTGTGGTCAACGTCTTCCATTTCTATTGCAGATAAGACAAACACGGAAGATACTTTGGTACTGAAAATTGGTTCTGTATCAATGGCTCCTCAGGCTGACAATCCTCTTAGTAGAGTTGTGTTGAGGAAAGACATTTATCAGTAAGTATTAAAAGTTAACTCATATAGCTCAGCATGTACAAGGCATATCACAAAAGTGGTATAATACCAGTGCACTTTGATTCTTGTGTAGAGGGTCTATTTGCATATAGTAACTTGAAACAATAAAGGGCTTGAATGGGATGCTTGAAGGGGCAAATCATTGTGCTTCTTGTTTCCACCTAAAAAGTTCATAGGTATTCAATCATCTGACATAGAAGTGATCAGAAAAAGATATGTATTAATCACCCTAAATCTGGTTTACATCACTGTTTTTACTCCATTCCTTCAGGGTTATTTTTGAAATGTTGCAGCTAAAATTAGAAGAAAAACTACGGAATAATCTGCATTTCTTGCAGTCTTATCTCCCTTTCCCTAATGTATGAAGCTTGCCATAGAGCCAAAGTGGAATCATCTTGGTTCTTAATAGTTTAACAGCCAGAGGAACAAAATTGTAACCTTTATGACTTACAGCTCCAATTATCTCATTTGTGGTCTTCTGTGGATGACTATGGATATATTAATTTCAGGGAGAGGAAAAGTAGAAGATGATATACATTCTACTTTTAAACTATTTAAAATCCTTATTTTGCTTTATTGGAACACGTTCTTTGCCATTTTTGTTGTCACTTGGAGATAATCATAGGGTTTTTTTTAAATGACAGGACTTAGCTGGTGCTTATAGGCTTGTTTGGAAACCTTCCTGGGAGAAGTAAAGAACAACCAGGTCACTGGCATATAATAGCTCATGGATGCCTCTGTGTGATAATACTGCGGAACTAAACAATGTACTTATTAAAAAATTTACTTTGTAATGAAATTTTCCATATTCATTGTTACTTTTTATGCATGCTTTAATCATTCATTCCAACACTTCAGAAAACTACAAAATTGGACTTTTGTGCATTGGGAAACAAACCAGGCTTAGAACACAAGTGAAAAAGCAGGCTAATCAATGACCAAAATAAAGTACTTTGAGCTTTGAAAAAGCTTTCCCTCATCCCCAGAAAATTATTCACTTACAGAAAAGATATTTTTGCAAATACTATCTGTTTCAGTAGCTGAATAGTGTGAAAGTGATTTTCATAATGTTAAATGGTTTGCAGACTTGCAAATGCTGGACCATTGATGTCATGTGGATCAAAGCTGTGAAAGAAAGCAAAGTTCTAAGGCAAAGTTTCACAGTAAACACATTTTTTTGTGTGAATATCTTGCTCTGGATTGTGTCACTGCCTTTGTGAAAACCACACTAATCATAAGTAAGCAGAAAAACTGGAGAACATATGTAATCAACCTGATAAAAATAATATATGATCTTTACTAGATTTGGCATTGCTGGAAAACATGAAAGTATAGTTGCAAATAATACCAAGTGAGAAAAGTCACAGAAATACAGATGAACAAGTGTCTTATTCTTCCTGTTGGTCTGTTTCTCAGATGTGGTGTATGTTTTTGTATGTGCATATGTTTGAAAAGTACACTTCAATAGAAATAAGTCAGAACCTTCAAAATCTTTCTCCAACAGTAAAACATTTTACAGGTTTAAAAATGACAGATATTACTTTTGCTCAGACATTCTAATGGCTTAAGTTGTACAGATTCTTTACAACTTTTGATCTTTTATCTGAGAAGTGGGGATGGGGGACTTTCCCAGAATGCACTTTAAGATGGGTTGGTCTATTAGTCTCATACTCACATATTCTCTATAGCAGGGGTGGGTTCTACTTACCTTTATTACCGGTTTGCAATGGTAGCGCGCACACGCACTTTTGCGCATGTGCAGATTGTACCTAATGTCCGGGCGGGTGGGCGGAACCTCCCGCCGTTTTTACTACTGGTTCTCAAGAACTGGACAGAACCAGGAGCAATCCCCCCACTGCTCTGTAGTTGAAATGCACCAATCAGAGTCTCATTTAAATCAGGAATATTTTTCTCAAGCAAGTAAACATATTGAAAAAACACTGCTGTCTTCTCAAATAAATAAAGTGATGAATGATAATATAATATATTATATACTATATTATGATAATATAGAATGGCTCCCCAAAAACATTAAATTCCTTATTAAATAGGAAGAATTAAGTGTAGAGTTTCAGTTCAACTACTGGCATAATATGTTTGAGAAAGTTATTCTGGAGCTTAAGAAAAAATGTTGCCAAAAAAGAAGGAATTGTGTTTCAATTTGCAGAAGTTTTCAAAACAAATTTTCATGTCTCTGTTTTGATAGATTCTTGTGGGGATTATTAGTTTGTTATGACAAATTTGTTGAAAGGGCAGAAAAGTACATTGCTTACATGGATGGCAGTTGTAAGTTTTAGAATGACAGTATATTCATAAAGTCTCAATAAGCAGGAATTGCTGTGCCATTTGGGCCAACAGCATTTTTCACATTTTAAAAAAATAAATATCTCTTGTAAACATAAAGTAAATTTAATTCTATTCTGGATTCATACACTTTTCCCTTGTTTGATATTATAATCAGCTAATGTATGCTAATGTTTTATTCAGAACTACTATATTTTTTCCCCAACTGGGTTACCCTTAATCCAGGCTCCAAAAACGCTCTTGAGATGTGACAGTCTCCCTAAGGAAGCACTCCAGAATTGGGGTATGTCAAAGGGAAATCAGTTGGTCTCACTTTATCCATGCCTTATTTTTCAAAGACAGGAGTTGGGCTAAAGTCTCCAGGGAAGATTGGTTTGTTTGTTTGTATATCGAACGTCTATGGCCGCCTATCTCACAAGAAGTGATTCTGTGTGGCGTACAGCAAAATATATAAAAAACAATAAACATGTCAAAAGTCAAATTAAAAAGCATAAAACACACAAGTGATTATATCAGCAAGGAAGCCAATTGAAGATTTCACCAGTCCCCTGAGAGAGCCCCCAGGCTGGAATAATTAAGTAATTAAGTAATAATTAATAATTAAGTAGTAATTACTTAAATTAATTTGAGAGAAAAGGGACTTTCAACTATATAGAACCATAACCAGTGGTGGGTTCCTCCCAGTTCCGCCGAGCTGGTAGCAGTGACAATATGATGTCACCGAACCGGTTCTGCCCTCCCTGCCCCCCTACCCCCACGTTATTCTTACCTTTTATTTGGCCCCACCCCCAATCTATTGCTGTCTCCTGAGTCCCAGCTGATGGGCTATAAGGAAAAAAACTGTTTAAACTCTTGCCGGGGGACTTCAAAGGGCCACCCTTCAGCTGATCAGTAGTAAAAGGCAGTTTGGTGGTAGACCGGTGCCTCCAAAAACAAATGAGTAGACCAGTGCCTGCAAAAATACATGAGTAGACCAGTGCCTGCAAAAATAAATGGGTAGACCAGTGCCTGCAAAAATACATGAGTATTTTTGCCTGCAGTGCCTGCAAAAATAAATGGGTAGACCAGTGCCTGCAAAAATATATGGGTAGCCCAGTGCCTGAAAAAATAAATGAGTAGACCAGTGCCTGCAAAAATAAATGGGTAGACCGGTACAGCTTTGCAAGCAGTTAAAAGCCTGGTAGACCAGTACCTCTGCTAAATCCTAAAGAATTGTCACATGACCATCAAGCCATGCCCACAAAATAAGCCACGCCCACAGAACCGGTAGTAAAAAAATTTAGAACCCAACCCTGGCCATAACTTGATGATACTACACAGTATAATACCTTGAATTGGGTTAGAAAGAGTTTGGGAGTCAGTTTCATTATTTTAAATTAATTAAGTTAACATGTACCCTGCCATTAATCTAAATGTTGTCTTTGAAACAACCTTTTAACATTAGACTAATAGAAAATACAAAAGAATAATCTTGTGCTTTGCCCTGTTTGGATGTCATATTGAGAGAATGTGGCTGTGATGACTAAAACGATGTCTATATGTATGTTGGGAGGAATTTGCTTTAGGTTTGGACAATATCCTGTGAGCCAGATGCATTTGGGAGAAAGAATTATGTCCCTTAACCTTAAATTACGTCACTTGTTTCATTGGATTACTGAATTTGTTAGATAGGGAACAGGTTATCAAATTCACATCACAAATTCATCTAATTGAACAAGACAAAAATATAGGTCATTGGAATATATTCAAATAACTGAACAGTTTTGTTTAGTATGTATCTGCATCAAAATTTGTCTTGCCTGCAGTATCATAACTGGGAGACTAAAATTGGACAACACAATGGCAAAATTGACAGTATATATCCATTAGAGAGGTTTAACTAAGTTCAAGCAAGAAATATTCCTTTGCATACAGTAAGTCACAAAAGAGTTCAATGTCTGAAATTCAGGTTTTAGGACTTAAATAAAAAGTAACAATTGCTGCTTTATATCAATATTTGATATAAAGTTAACATATATAAACTATGGCTGTGGCTGAAGATATAAATGGAAGGGAAGAAAAGGATGTAATCCATTTTTCACTATGTTTTTTAAAAAAAATTAATGGTCTCTTTTTTGGCATTAACTTGTTCCCCTCCCCGCTTTTTATCTACTTTCTTTGCGTCCCGATTTTTGCTTTTTACAAATTTCTTATATTTCAATACTTTCATAATAAATACATTTTAAAATTATATAAATCAATAATTATGTAACTGAACTAAAGCAGTTAAATCTCATGGGAGCAGATTGTATAGATTTAATTGAAACCAGTACTGGATGTTGCTGTGATACACAAAGAAAAAAAAAGGCTTTCAAAAAAGAGGCTCTATCTGAAATTTGAGTTTCTTTTAGCATGAAACAACAGTACATTTAGTTACTTAAACTAATTTATTAAATATTAAAACTTTTAACCTAATCCTGTGCTTATAAAAATATGTGTTTATCTACCTTATGCTTTTTTTTTTTTTTGGGTTGAGTGACCTGTCTTTTTTGTAGGCTCTATTATGATTTCTGGTTTTTTGTCTATATAACCAGTGGAAGTGTAGCATATGTTTCTTTGACTGTCTTTTAAAATGAAGTGTGTCCTCATACAATATATTACAGAACTTCGGTATCCAATTTATCCCATGATGGCATAAT